TAAAATAAAATAAACTTGAAAAAAAAAAAGAATTTAAGTCTTTAATCCTTGATTTAAACCTCAGACCTTTCGCATGGCAGCTCGTACGCTAGTCTCAGTTCTATGGAGATATCTAACTATTTAGTTTTAATAATAATAATTAAATTGATCTGATATAGTTTTATTAAAATTTATGATTTTTTGTGGATAAATATAGATAAGAATATCTTTTGAAATACTATTATTTATTGATTCTTCACAAGAATCACTCATTTAATCTCAATAACTAAAAGAATATATTTGAAAGAACTGTCACAATAAAATAACAGTAGTCTATAGTGACCCAAATATAAACAGTAATTGGTGAATTTTATATTCGTGCGTGTTCTAGGTAGAATGGATATGAAATATATTCATTCAGTTGAACGCAATTCGCTCAGTGCGGAGTCATGGTAGGGGAAGCAAAAGCGATACTAGCGCTAGCTGCGGATAATTCGTGCATTTTAGGGCGATATTTTGTAATTTTGACATATTAAATACACGTATACATTTAACTTTTTTTCAAAAAAGTAAGTACAATAAGTAACCGGAGTTGCTGTGCTGAAAATTGTAAAAATACTAGCAAAAAAAAACAGTGTAAATTATAAACATTTTCAGTGGCAAAGTGAAAATTAAATCAAAAATCAATGGATAGGTGTACAATAAGAGACAAAATTATTGTAATAATAACAGTAATACTGGAAATAGTAGACATCAGGAACTTGAAATTGTCACTATATTTTTTAGTTATTGAGATTAAACATACATTATTAAAATGGGTTATTCTTGTGTAGAATCGATAAATAATAGCATTTCTCTTTTTATTTCGTCTATAATTATAAATAATTTGTTAATTTAAATAAATCTATATGAAGTCAATTTAATTACGAGTGTTAAAGTAATAAAAATAAAAAAATAGATGGTCTTCTGGTAAGTGTTCTTGCCTTCCACACGGAAGACTCGAGTTCGATTCTCGGATGGGGAAAAATGAAATAAACTTTTTTTTTCGTTTATTTTATTGTAAAAAATATTAAAAGTCATAAATTATTTTAAAATTAGTTATTTTGCCTTAATAAACTAAAATATTCTTTTATTTGTAAATTTTCGTTAGTGGGTCGTAGACAAAATATACTGTACAACTACGGCGTCGTGCTTAAAGTTCGTCTTCGTACGATATCCATCATGTCCACTCTTGTTGCACAAACTACTATTTTAGTTTAAGCGATAAAAATATATAATAACAATAAATTAATGTTTTATTTTTTTTTAAATCCATATACTTTTATTAAAACTAACATATACATATACTGTTTAATTACGAATTCTATTAAAAATTGTATTGTCAATATACGCAAAAATAGTTCAATAGTACATAAATGAATTGGCGCTGCTGACACGCACAGAGCAAATAGACTAATTTTTCATTTTGTAGTTTGTGCATAGAATAGCTAATATGCATGCGGGTGTAGAAAAAATGTATTGTTCATTATTTCTAATGTAAATACATCTACATTTTTATACACCCACATGGATATTAGTTATTCTACGCACAGACTACAAAACGAAAAAATATGTCATTGCGTTCAACTGAACGAATATGTTTCATATCCATTCTACCTAGTAAGAACACTGCACAAATATGAAAACCACCAATCACAGTTCATATTTTGGTTACCCGGCTACTAATGTTTTCGTGCGATTTGGCTGTCGTATCCACTCTTGTTGCACAAACTACTATTTACACCCACATGGATAGTATCTATTCCACTCATAGACTACAAAACGAAAAAGTAGGTCATTGCGATATATTGAACGAATATATTTAATATCCGATCTAGTAAGTACATTATACGGATATAAAATCCATCAGTCATAGTTCATATTTGGTTACCAGGCTACTATTATTTTTTTACACGTTGACGACCACGCTTCACATATATGTGACAAGCAGTTTTTTCCAGAAACTGATGTCACAAATGTGTAACAATGACCCTACAATGAATAAATGCAAATATATTAGATTAAATTGGGAGTTGGACGTTATTTCTCCTTGTCCACCGCGATCTTTTTAGATCTATTGTTTTAGAGTATGTTGTCTAGTCTGGTCCTTTTTATTAGACTTAGTTGCTTTGACAATGGCTCCCGCATGTAGTTGCATGCATTTGGCTTTTCTTCGCCCAATGTTAGAAACCTTATTCCAGCCAGGCCTTCACATTGGCAGGACGTGAAATTATGTTTCCTCTTCTTCTTCACAGAACCTGCACAAAGTTGCTTTTTCTGCTTGATTTATGACACTCATGTGCCTTTTAAGGCGACAGTGTCCGGTAAAAGACCTACTGTTATCCTAACGATTTGGCTCTTCTGATCCAGTAGGTCTTTCGTGAACTTGGCTGATGGTTCCTTAATAAACTGTTTGGTCTGTCTCAGTCTTGGATAGATGTTCCACCATTCCTGAGACTCTTTTTGCATCCATTGTTTGATGTATGCCTTGCACAATGCCTTAGCAACCCCCCATAATAGTTCGTGGCCAGTCATGACCTTATCTGAGCCTTCTCGGGCTAGTTCGTCATCCTTTTCGTTGTCCTGATATCTCTCATGGCCTAAAACCCAGGCTAGGTTCACTTTGTTTTGATTACTTAGCTCTGCTAGGTCTTCTAGACAGTCTTTCACCAGTCGTGATTTGATAAATGCAAATAACTCCCAGGTGGTTCAGCGGCGACAGATGTGTTTTATCGTCAGTTTTTGGGCGTTTCTGGCACACACATGTGTAATATGGTTTTAGGATTGGATGGTTGGTTCCAGTCATAACCTTAAATTCACGTGGCGGCTGTGGTTTATATCGTCTTCCAACTTGTGCAGATTTTTGTTGATTGTAGGCACACAGAAAGGAGCATGACTTGGTATTCCTGTTTAAAATATAAGGATAATAAAGGTAACCCTATTGGATGTGGCATAAAAGTCAAAAATGAGAATTTCTGCAAAGTCAGAATTACAATGTCTTTTTTTTAAGATTTTTTTTGTCTGTTTTTTATTTCTCACAATAATTATGTCTTTCTTGTAGTTTGTTTTTTTATAGAAAGTTTTTCTCAGTTTTTTGCAATATAAATAATCAAAAAATGTATTCTTAGTTTCATTTAGATTATAAAATATGTTATAATTTATCCAAAATAACACGTCACACTATTGTGACAGGTGGTATATTTTAATGAAATACTTCTCGGAAACTGATGTCACTTATATGTGACATTAAGTAAAAATACAAAAATTAGATAACAAAACATATATAACCTATAAAAAATATAATATTTCTGTCAAAAAGTTATGCCACCCAAAAAAACGCGGTTGGTTTCTAGTCAAATTTCATAATAGCTAGCGGTCATGAACGTGTTAAATTTTAAATAAGTGACAATTTTATCAAACTAAATGTAAGTATATTTTTTAGGTATTTAAATTTTATGTAATTGAAATTTAGCGATTCTTGTGAAGAATCGATAAATAATAGGATTACACAAAATATTCGTCTATATTTACAAATAAATCGTAAATAATAAAACTATCTAAAACTAACTTGCCTTCTTAGCGCCGGTGATAGAGTAATAATTTGCCATGCGAAGAATCCTGGGTTCAAATTCAGAATTTTATAAATTAGAAAAAAATGATATAATTAGTTTTAAAAATAGTTATTTTATCTTAATAACCTCTAAATTTATTTTTAAATTTGTAGATTTTTGTTCCTGGTTCGTAGAAAAAAAAATACTATACAAAACATTGTGTTCGTGCGATATGGCAATTATATCCAATGAACCATTTTTTTTGTAATTGATTTTTTCTAGTTGGTAGGTATGTAGTCGATGACACTTTGACATTTATAAAACATTTATTGTTTTTTTTGTAATCTAGTAACCTAGTTCATTGCTGCCAGCTTTAAAAATTGTTATAAATAAATGATTTTGCTAGTTTACTATTTGCTCATTTAAACTATTGATAATGAGTAATTTAGTTCTGTAACATTTGCTTCTTTTATTCCTCATACAACATTAAAACGTGTAAATAAATTAGCGAGCGTTTCTCCATAATGCCACTGGACATAATAAGGGTGTTGGTGTCAAATAAATACAAAACATAAACAAATAATAAACAAGTGAAAAATAAAACTACTTTGATATTTGTAATAATTTCTATACATAATTATTAAGTTAAAAATAATAAAGCAGAAAAACAAATGATCCATAGCATTTTTCCCAATATAATAGATCTACTGTTGGACACTAAATTTATTATAACATTATAACTGAAGGAATTATTTATGTTTCTATGCTTAGTTGAGGTGAATTATTTCTTTGATAACACTTCCCAAACCAGAGAGGCAGATGAGCGTGACGAACCATGGAGGAAGTTCATGCGTTACATATTTATGTTTGTTTTAATAAGTCACAGTTTTTTTTAATTTTTTTTGAGAGTATTGTTTAAAAGTTCCTGTGATTTTCGTGTAATACAAACGTTAGCAAAATATTTTGTTAGATTTATTTAGGTGTGTATGTGTGTGTTTTGTTTTTTAAACTTTAATCTACTAAAAAAAATCATACCATTTTCAAACTACACCAGAAAATATCATCTTAGATTCAGACAAAATCAGGCTTGTCCATTTAATTTTCTTTTAGATTTTCGCTTCCTATTTTTTTTATTACTGTTTTATAAGTAATTTTAATTTCATCTTATCCATTATAACATCTCATAATTTAGATAATTTTAATATTAAAGCTGTACAACTAAAACATTTTTCATGTTTTTCTCGAAACTACTTCATGTGGACATGATTTCAAAAAAGATCTAATAGGTTAAACTTGAAAGACTCAGTATAAAAATTATTATTTTGTGTAGACACACTAACCACTTGCAACAAAACAGGAAGCAACATTTACTGGCTCAATATCTTAATTAATTAAAAAAATAAAAATGAAAACAGGAAAACTAATACTCACCGTTCACCTAGTGATCTAGATTCAGCTAAATACTTCAATCCGTGGATGCTGGTACTATTACAATACTCTTTAAAATAATCGTGAGTTCTCTTCAAAGTACTTTTCGATTTCCGCGAACCATTTCCGTCATTTTTCGCGGTTATTCTCAATTTGACATCATTTTCTTGACTCCCTGTTTCTTTGTTTGACTCCATTGGGAAAATAAACCAAAATGTACCATAACTTATACTTCGCCGATGTTCGAATCGAACAGGAGTATTTTTAGAGGCGAGTGTGTTTGAATAATTATTATTAAATGGATCGTAATTCCCGTTTGCAGTTGAGCATCTTCAGCATTCGCACATGAACAGTTGGAAATTAAATTAATTCATTATTTAGTTGAAGTAGAATAGATGTGATAAAATTTATCTAGGGATACATTAAGTGGATTGGTATTAAGGGTCGTTGTCTAAAGTTGCGTTCTACCTACCTACAAGTTAGATAACTATTAAACGTTTTTGACATAGAAATTGATATTACATTTAGTTTCGGTCATCTCGACCACCATCAGACCTGAAAGGAGATGTTTGTTACAGGAAAAGACTTTACATTAAGTGTAAAATTAAGTTTTGAATATCCAAATAAATCAGAGAGTTCTAAAATATAGAAGAAATACAAAGTTTTATATTTTATTATATAATTATATATTTTTTTTATCGCATATTTATTGTAAATAAGATCGATTCAACAAAACGGCACTAATAAAAATAACATATTTTTGTTCTCAATATTCTTCACTCTCTTTATAACACTACTGGCCAAAGCCAGACTTACAGTAATGAATTTTATTTAAAAATCCCATGACAACCAAAGAGCGTTCACATATGGGTTACGCCAACTATAATTTTAATATATTTGTTTCACCTACGTGGATATTAGCTATTCTACGCTCAGACTATAAAACAAAAAAGTATGCCATTGCGTTTAACTTGGGGAATATATTTAATATCCATTCTACTCAGTAAGACACTAAAAAAAAATAAAATCGGCCATTCACAGTTCATATTTTGGTCACCAGGTTACCATTATTTTTTAAAATTTTAAATGTGACAATTCTGTCAAACTAATTGTCAATATAGGGGAAGGCCGCCTATGATAGCATACTTAAATTTGATGCTCTCTAACTTCCTTATTTGTGAACGCAAATTTTTCTGTTTTGCACGTGTATATCCTTTATGTAATAGCTATTGATGATAGCTATGCAAATTCAGATTACTTTTTTTTTTTTTGAAACGGCTATATAAAGAATTATTGAGCCATGCCATCATAGGAACATGTCGGAACCTATGATGGCACACTTTCAGAATTAGGCATTCCAAACTGAATGCCTACCAGTGGGCTTTGACGGGTTATGATATTGCAAAATTATGGCAACCCTGTAGACCTGGTGATTTGACAAGGTCAATGAAATAGATAGTTACATAGATTGATTATCCATATTTTTCAAAATAAACATAAGCGTATGCCTTGAAGTAAAAATGTAAGCAATTATTTTTTTTAAACATCTAAAGGCTAAAAATTGGTTTTAAAACACATTTTTGCTAAACCGATTCAAATTAATAAATATTTGCCAGGCAATATGGCCGCTCGTAAACGACCAGCTTTAAGCAATCTATATAACTATATATGTATCATTGACCCTGTTAATGACATCATGACAACAGGGTTGCCATATCTAAACTGTCATTACCCACTGGTAGCCATTTGGACAGGTCGTTGGAATTCCTAATTTAAATACATCCATTTAAATGAAGTTTTATTTCAGTCAAAAATAACAAAATAGGTGATAATAAATGTCATATGATAATAATATATCAACTAAAAAAAATTCTACTGGCATAGCTCGCAGACATACATTTTGGTTTTACTAGATACTCCAGCGCATTCACAATGGCACCAGGATGAGCATTTCTGGCAGCGGATCCAAGATTCTCTAGTATGAGAACGAGAATAAAGTTCGTTGCAGTATAAACAGCACGGAAAAAAATGTGACTAGAAAATTTTACTACAATGTTGTAGTAGTAGACTTGTAGAAAAATACTTAACAATTTGTAGAAAATTTTACTACAATTTATAGTTAAAAACTATTAATTATTGTAGCAATTGAATTGTCGAATAAAATGCTACAACAATAGGAAAGAAGTCCACAATGTTTAGTATATTTTACTATTGTTTGTAGAAGTAGAAATTTATTACAATTATCGTAATTACTACTACTAACTTCTGTAAAAATTTGTACAAATATTAATAATTATCTCTACAAAAAAATAGTAATTTTCTCTACAAAAAATAGTAATATTATACATCCCTTCTTATGAAATAAATTCAATTTTGTTCAAAAATATTCTATAATATTGTAGAAATTCTAAGTCATGTGAACAAAACAGAATTCTGCTATTGGCCAACGTTTTCTGACGTCGATCATAAACGGCCAGACAGCAGTAGCCGTTTGCCATGTTCACATAACAAAGCATGGTACATATACGAGTACCTATAACACATTATTATATTATAAGCACCGATGCGTTTGAGAAAATTTTAATAATAAATTCTATTGGTGGTAAGTACATTTATTATTGTTTCTGAATAATTTACCTTTAGATAACTAATTTAAATAACCTTAGTAGATTATTTTAAAAAAATAGTTGTGGCCAACGATCGAATGTTGTGCCCAACGATCGAATTTTGTGCCAAGTTCAATGATATTTTTTTGTCTTAATTATGACATACCTACTTTCTCATTTTTGTTAGTTATCTGACTTAGTCATTTAATATCCAAATCAGTGTAAAGGTGATAAATATCCCCGTTTTAAGGGTATGAACAGTTCAATTGGTAAAAAAATTTTATTTCATATTTTTCAGGTGCAGAAAAGCCAACTGAGACTGAGGGCGCTATTATTACTGTTATTTATTACATAATGTAATTAAGAATTTCGCATTTCGCAAAGCAGGAATAGTTCCTCTAAATCCTGAAATATTTGAGGATTGGATGTTTGCTCCATCCCTCACTACGGACAGACCTCATGAACAACTAGCCCCAGATGCCTGTGAACAACCAATAGAAGAATTACAACTAGCCTCAGATGTCGAAAAAGCAGGTCCTTCTTCATCAGGCACCGCAGGTCCTCCTTCATCAGGCATTGCAGGTCCTTCTACGTCTAAAGCAGCAAGTCCTTCAACAATGGAAGCAGCAAGTCCTTCTACGTCGGAAGCAGCAAGTTCTTCTACTTTTATACGAAAAGTTAAGTTCACTATTCAAGAAGTATCGCCGTTGCCAGTAGCTGCACCTAAACATGAAGCGAACAGAGGACGGAAACGCGGGAAATGTGGTCTTCTGAATAGTACACCTGACATTGAAGAATTGAAAAATCAAGCAGACGAAAAAACTAGGAAGGAGTGAGAAAAGCTAGCGAGAAAAGCGAAGAGAAGGGTAACACTAGAGGACGAGGAAGATAATAAAGAAAATGGTGATCCGTACAATGTCGATAATGATGGGAAATCCGATGTTGCCTCACGGAAAACAAATTGTAGAACAAATTTCTACAATTTTAGATTTTTTTCTCTACAATAAATAGTAAATATAGGGACAGGGACAATTTGTAGTAAAAATTTCCAAATATTTGTGGAGAATGTATTGTAGAGTTATTGGGTGCTATGATTGAACGTTTACGTTATCCGTAACGTACATGTTAGGCCGAGTTTTAACAGAAATGAGGCAAATTCGTATGATGAAAAATTTTTTTCAACACATTACTGGTATTTTCCGCCTGTTATGTTCTAATTTAACAGTTTTCCATCATTCAAATTTGCTTCGTTACTTTTAAAATTCGACCTAACATGTACGTTATGGATAACATAAACGTTCAATCATAGGACCCAATATCTATAATATTTGGTAAAAATATCCAAATGCATCATAAGAATTGTTCTACAAATTATTATAATTTTTGCTATTCATTGTATGAATTTATATTAAAAATGTATTGCGTTTTATGAAAATAAATACGAAAATTTTACACAATAAATAGTAAAAATTCATACAAATTGTAGTAATTATTAATAAAATTTGTAGTAGTATTCCATAATTATTATAATTGAAGGGGTAAGTGGATGAAGGGGTTATGTTATAAAAAAAAGTTTTTGAGCAATTAACTATTTAATTAGATTAATTGGCAGTTTTAGTGAAAAAGTCTTTAAAATGCCTTTTGTGAGTTGGTAAGAGTGATTATGAACTAATTAGATGCACAAGACCATACCAAAGTAAGACACATACGAACTTAATTAATTCTTCATCAACAAAAAAAAATAGGATTAAAAATGTTACATAATCCCTTCATCCACTTACCCCTTCAATTATAACCTAGAAAAAAATGTTCCTTAATAAAATATTCAATTTATTGTTTTAATATAAAAGATACAAATTCTTAATTACATTATGTAATAAATAACCGTAATAATAGCGCCCTCAGTCTCAGTTGGCTTTTCTGCACCTGAAAAATATGAAATAAAAATTTTTTACCAATTGAACTGTTCATACCCTTAAAACGGGGATATTTATCACCTTTACACTGATTTGGATATTAAATGACTAAGTCAGATAACTAACAAAAATGAGAAAGTAGGTATGTCATAATTAAGACAAAAAAATATTATTGAACTTGGCACAAAATTCGATCGTTGGGCACAACATTCGATCGTTGGCCACAACTATTTTTTTAAAATAATCTACTAAGGTTATTTAAATTAGTTATCTAAAGGTAAATTATTCAGAAACAATAATAAATGTACTTACCACCAATAGAATTCTACAAACAATAGTAAAATATACTAAACATTGTGGACTTCTTTCCTATTGTTGTAGCATTTTATTCGACAATTCAATTGCTACAATAATTAATAGTTTTTAACTATAAATTGTAGTAAAATTTTCTACAAATTGTTAAGTATTTTTCTACAAGTCTACTACTACAACATTGTAGTAAAATTTTCTAGTCACATTTTTTTCCGTGTACTTACCAATTTTCTTTTTCACTTATAAAATGACAACAAAATCGTTGGAAAGGCACCGACTGCGTACAAGACACATACTTTGATTACTATACGGTGCAAGAGAGAGGTCTGACACGTCCGACACGCCCAACATAGGTGCGGCCATTTTGATTCATATGCCACAGTTTATAGCTAAAGAATCAGATCGCTCACTCTGCGTCGGCACATTTGATCTCATTGTTCCAGTTTATACACTGCGCAACTCGGATAATACAATATATGACAACCGCCCATAATAAAACAGCAGTCTTTTGCGTATCCTGAATTTGTATCCCTGGAGTGGATGTTATTTTGGAACTTTCAACTGGTCCGAGTGAGCTAACTGATTCTTTAGCAATAAACTGTGACTCCAAAAATAATATTTACTGACACTGACAGCAGCAAGCAAAATATCAGGTGCGTTTTAAGGTCTGTTTCAACAACGATCAGAAACCAGTCATTGACACCAGGATTCTGCGCAGTAGCGTATTGGGACTGCCAATTTATCTACTGCGCAGAATCCTAGTGTCAGTAACTGGTTTGTGATTGTTGTTGGAACATACCCTTAATCATCCGCTTCTACTTCCGGAATTGTCAGTTTAGTCGTTTTAACCTGTCAGATAAAAACAAGAAAACCGACAATTCCGAAGCAGACGTGGATGATTAGAACCATTGATAAGACAACGTAAGGATACGTTATATGTATTATTTTTTAAATACAAAAGTGGGACCGGTAGGCGTGGCTTTTGCACTCACTAAAATGGCGGAAGAGCAGAACCGGATTTACAAGTTTTTATTTGCCGCGTTTGAGAATCCACATCGGATGCATCTGAGATGTAAAAGATCTTTGATCACGTGATTCAGTATACGTAAATGTAATGGGACATATGTGTCCGATGTGGATAAAAAAACGCTCAAGATGTAAAAAATGCATCCGATGTGGATTCTCAAACGCAGCAATAGTACCTACTATTTCTGGTTAAGTATCATTATTTGAATTATAAAAAAATTATTTTTCTTTTTATTGACATTGACTTAAAAGGTGGTGGAAGGCCGAGGTTATAAAAGAAGGGGATTTAAAAGCTTAAATATGCCCGGTTTTCAGCCGAGAGGTGCTGAATAAAGTAAATGAAAGAAATAAAATATAACTGATTTAATTATCACTCAAGTGGCTATTAAGCGCTGAAGAATATATTATTTGCAAAATTGCAACTAATCAATGACCATGATATAACTAACTTGGAGCCGATTCCACCATTGGGCTTAACGAAGTTTAAAATTACATTTTTACATAAAATGTAATTTTAATCTTCAATTAATAGTTTAAACTTTAACACAATGGTAAAATTAACCCTAAAGCGTTGAAATCATTCACAGAAAAAATAAATAATACATATTTGGTTCACATAAGCGACAAAAGTAAACAGAGTTCGATTTATTGGATCAGTCGTCACACGTTTGCACTAGGGCACATAAATAGCTCAATCTTTAGTTTTTCGTTTTTCTATGAGCCCAATGCTTTCTGTCTTTAAATCGGAAAGTACTAGGTCAAGTAATCTAACTTTACTTTAATTAACAGCTTTCTCGAAATTAAGAACAAATGTTCATACACTAAAAGCTCGATAATCAGATACGAAACTTAATGCAAGGCTCGCGGAAAATGGCTAATAAGCAATCTCTGTGTAGGTAGATGCACTATTCAGGAAATCAAAATGTGGATTAATCTTACTTGGTCTTGGTACTTTTGTAGATTCAGACTGAAAGGTGTATATCTTCATGCAAGACATTCACTAAATCAGCGAAGCCATAACAAGCGGTGTGCAGGTGCATTTCTAACAAATGTAAAATATGAAGTGATCTTACTTGAGACCTATAGATCCAATGACGATATTATGGTAGTTGGATTGAGCTGGGCTTCTCACCATCTGCAGAGATTAGGGCTACTTATGTAAAGGCCTACCGTAGTAACACACAACATGCACCACAAGCGTGTATGATTGAAAGTCAGACAAAGAATGTGAAGATAAAGTTGAAGTCTCAACCATAGTTAAAGTCACAGATGAAGTTAAAGTTAACAGCAAACGAGTTGAAATTGTAGGCTGGTGATAAAGGGAGGCCAACATCTAGGTAATAAATGTTTATCGAGTTAGGAAAAGTATCCACTGTAAGTGCTTTTCTTGACCACTAAGGTAAAAACCAGAATATTTCCTAATACACATTTTCTTCGCTAGGCAAAATAAGAAATAAATTTGTGAGAGTACTTCCCAAGTGTTTTTACAAAAGCTCTAAGAACAAAATTGACGAAAATTGCCTAATCCAAGTTCAAATTCTAAAACTTGAACATTAAAGATAAGTATCTTACTGTAAAACAAGTAAAACCCCGTTGTTGACTAAATGGTTGAATAATTCATTACCTACGTGGAGGTAGAATAGGGACTAAAGTTTAGCAGAAAAAGCCACTAGAAAAGGTGAACAAAATAGACTGGGGCATATGAACATCAAGCAAATATTGTAAATGAAAATAATGTGTGCTGTGATTAAATAAAAGTGTACAAGGAATAAAGTTTTAATATTTTCTTATCCATATCTAGGAGTGATATTTATTTTTAATACTAGACAAACGGTTATGGTTTTATTGCTAGTCTCATTAAAAAAAAACTAAGTGAGTATTGATGTTAAATATTTATTATTATAAGAACTTATATGCACTATACAAACTTAAATATCATATTCCTGAATTCATTTCAAGCATAAAATGTCCTATGAACAAATATCCAATTCCGCATGGTTACCAAACTACAAGAGTTTAAATATCAAACATAGTAAACAACGTAAAAATGTCCAGTAAATATAATATTACACAGTAATATTTCTGAAATAAAATTTTTAAATCTTTTAGAGATATTAAATAGTAATATTTCAGAAATGTATTCTAGCTTTTTTTCTCTAAAATATTATTAGACTAAAAAAAAGACATTTATAAATATACAAAATACACAAAACTCAAATATTGATTCTTAAAACATTATTTCAAAAAATATAAAGGAATCACTTCATTTCCACAAAGTCCTTTAAATGCACTAATCTGAAACAAAGTTTTTTTTAATAAATGCCCCAAGTAAAGAAACATTTACGATTGTTACAATCTAATCATTAAGATCAATTAGAAATTTTATTCTAACTTATCAAGGGATGAAAAACTTCACAAACTGATATTCTACTTTCTAGTATACCCAATGCGGCAGTTTCACATGGCAGTTGAGTGCTATAACAATTGTACTGTTTGGTGGGGATGACTCCTATTGCGATAGTTTTACTGTTATCACTTGATTCACAAAGTGAGTTTAATCGCTTGCTTCAAAATGGTGCCGA